TTTTACTCTTTTTCACTTTGACATGGTAATCATAAGAAGATGAAGTAGACTCTTTTATTTTCTCTCTTCACTATATGATTATATCTGATTTCTCCATCATCAATTTACTATTCACAAATCTCTTGATCTTTTTTATTCAGAATTTTGTATTTTTTTATAGATTTAAAAAATATAAATATTAAAAAATATAACTTTTCATAAATAAACGGTTATAAACTAAAAGATTCATGTTCAAAAGAAATTTTGATTTGCTTTAACGGGGGTGCGTGTTCGTTCGGATTTGCTCTAAGTTTTATCCTTCAAGGGAATGAGAAATTCCAGGAGTGAAAGCCTGACGAGGTCCTGCGCACACTAGAAATAAGTGAGTCGGGCCTCTGGGAGAATCGAAAAAAGGTTTTCTTGGTTCTCGAATGCTCAAATTAGAATGCTCCACTGGGAATAAGTACTCGGGAGGGAGGATGGATAGTGATGGTGTTATGGTTTGAGTACCCCGTCCAAAGATCGTGATAGCCATCTATTGTTTGGTGAAAGTGGATGTGAGATAGATGGACCATTGAGAGAGTGGGGTTGGAACTCTCTCTCCATGAGAGTTAAAGCAAAGGGTGTGGGGGAAGAGAAAGCTTATATCAGTTGAAGTTCCTTCTGAGGAACGATGAGTGTATCCCCTTCAGTCCCGCTGTAAGGTTGGGGTATTATGGTGAGCTCCGGCAAAGCCGGGGAGCGTCCGTTGTTCCCTCCTCTTCTAAGACATCTCCTTAGAGCTTGGTATCGTCTCCCTTTCTCTTTTTATTCTGGCTTCCAAACTCTCTAAATCCCCACGTGGCGACCCCTCTTTCTCCTAGCCTTCATTCCCTCTTTATACCCCATTCGTGTTGATCCATTCCATTGGCGCTGCATAGTGGGAGTTAGGTGGGTTACTGCAGCATGCCTTCGACTTGGAAAACTTTCCAACTGGAAAAGTCATCATTACGACAGGGTCCACTGCTGATGTGTCACTTTTTGATAAGACGCGGTGAAAGTAACCCCAACAGTATCTTATAATTAATGAAAAAATTCAAATTTTAATAATAATTATGATGAAAAGATGCAATCTATATGCAATTGGCATTTATTCAAATTGATATATTTTCTTATAACATCAACTTTATTAATTTATAGTTAGAGTGATATTACATAGTCTTTATGTAAGGCAAAAGTGATACATTATGGTATTAAGATGTGAAAGTAAAACCGAGATGAAGAAGGGATCATATATTTGGCAAGTATGTCTGCCGGTTCATTATTGTTTCTCAATATCCACTTAAATATCACCTCTGTGAATTTTGACCTCCAATATTTAACTTCTTTTAACCAATTATCTGTTCTAAAGTGAAGACTCTTGCATGATAGCGGATCATTCATTTTCTTGCTATCACCCTCAAAGATCACATATGTGTAGCCCTTTGTCCAGCTGTTCGGCAATGCAAACACCAGCGCCTGATATTTACTCTCAAAAGCAGTAAGTACTTAGCCTCTCTCCCATGCCTTGACCTCCACCTAAGTAGATTCCATGTGTGTCCCTGAATATCCAACTTGATTGCGATTGAATATTAGCATTTTGAAATAATCCATCAAAATTACATATAATCCAAGATGATGTGGTCGTTTCCAATTAATTCTCCGAGTCTCCTCCTGTAGGCGCATTTGATCCGGTGGGTGTATCAGGTCCCAAGCATTTGTTGAAGAGTTCAGATAATCTTCAAGATCCAACCATTCCTTGACATCTCTGTGAATGTTTCAGAGTAGATTTCTCCATGGTATTTGTTTTTACTGATATGTTAGAGAATTTCCGCTTTTCTATAGTCTCCTCCATAATAACCATAAGTACATGTGGTAAGCTGTTGAATATGAGTTTTCCCGATGAAAATCAAAACAGAGGTTCAATGTGTTTCCATGGTGAGTCCTGTTGCAAAATTATCTGAAACGAGATAACTAATGTTCTTATATTTGTTAAGTATAAGGACATTCAAAGAACATATGATTTGTTGGTTCTTCTATGTTACAACATCGTCGATAGTATTATATGTCTTTGTTTCAAGTTATCTCCTATGACTAGTGATCCTGAAATCATTTTCCACAAAAAAATGTTGTATTTTTGGTGCTGTTTTGATCTTCCAAACCTCTGCTTTAGGAAGATTGTCTCCATCTAGTGCTAGTGGTCTGAAGTCCCGTGGTAAATGAGTAGCCAACCATTATCCTGATCTCACTGTATAAACTCCATTTTCATTATAGTGCCATCCCAATAAGTCATAGATGGCTGAGTTGCATAATTTTAGAGCAAGGATATGCTCCACATAGTTCGGTTCAACCGCTTCTCTGACTTTATTAATGTCCCATGCTGTGCCATGTGAATGAGTAGATCACAAAAATTGATATTCTAATGTGTATCAACTCTTTTTCTTGCTGGTCTTGGTGGGTGTAAAGGTACCCACAGATCAGACCAAACATTGATGATCTTCCCATTACCAATAACAAATCGTAAGCCTTTACATAATAGATCACGACCTTGTAGTATTGATTTCCAAATGTACGATGCTTTCTAACAGGGTTGGGCAGTTAATATGTTTCTATCAGGATAATAAATCCCACCGTAAGATCTTTTACCATAAGACACTCACGTTGTTGTAAGATTTGCCATACCTGTTTCGCTAACGTAGCTATTTAGAAGTTTTCATGATCTCTAAAACCTAGGCTGCCTTCTTTCTTTAGTAGACTTAGTCTATTCAAGTTATTATTATAGTTAGAATATAATATTAAATTATGTATAATTAAATCGATAATCTATATATTATTCCATACATCAGAAAAAGAAAGAAAAGAAGTTGAAAAAAGAGAAAAAAAAAAGAATAACAATGGACTATAAAAAAGAATAAGATGATAAAAAAGAGAATAATTTATGTATTTAATAAATAAAAGATTTATTGAGAAAATTATAAATTAATAGATAAATTACATTTTTATTAAAAACTAAAAACACTTTTATCATAAAAATAAATAATTCTAAATAAAAATAATAGTGTAATTTAAAAAATTTACAACTAGATATTCAAACCTATAAAAACATAATTTTTATATAAAATCAATAATATACTAGGTATTTCTCCGCACCTTGTGTGGGGTTTGATTAAAACTTTTAAAAAGTATAACATTAGGTTATCTATAGATAAAAAAATCAGATTTTATAATGATTTGAAACCAAACTTAATATATTTGAAAAAATATATTTTTTATGAATATATTGTTTTTTGGTGACAAAGCAAAATATCTTATTTATATATTATTTTTTAATATTTTTTATATTATCCAATAAAAATTTATAAATATGTTTTGTTGTTTTGTTGCATTTATCAAACATGATAAATAATTCTCTTCTTTTGATGTAAATTGGTATATTATGATTAATAAAATTAAAAGTTTGCATTAAAAAAAAACATAGCAATCCAAAATGGCCAAAACCAAAGGATCCTTTTTTCATATCAACTTAATATTAATTAATATATATAGAGTTTTAAAAGGGTTGAGATGATTTAAAGTTTTATTTATTATCGGATAAATCAATTAGGTTAGTCAAAATATTAGTAGGTTAAACATTCAAATTAGAATTAGTTTAATGAAATAATTAGGATTTCTTTATATATTCTAGTTACCTTTTTTAGTAAACTGTATATTTTTATGATATAAACTTGAATTTGGAAATCAAGATTTTTAAAAAGCAAAAATCAATAAAAATTAGATTATATTAATTTGTTAATTTTATTAAGATCATAAAAATAAATATTTCTAAATAAAAATAATAGTGTAATTAAAAAAATTTACAATTAGATATTCAAACCTATAAAAACATAATTTTTATATAAAATCAATAATATACTAGGTGTTTCCCCGTACCTTGTGTGTGGCTTGATTAATTTTTTTAAAAAGAATAACATTAATTTATTTATAGATATAAAATCAGATTTTATAATGATTTGAAACCAAATTTAATATATTTGAAAATATATTGATTTGAAACCAAATTTAATATATTTGAAAATATATTATGAATATATTGTTTCTTGGTGACAAAACAAAATATATTATTTATATCTTATTTGTTAATATTTTTTATATTATCCGATAAAAATTTATAAATATGTTTTGTTGTTTTGTTGCATTTATCTAACATGATAAATAATTCTCTTCTTTTGATATAAATTGGTAGATTATGATTAATAAAATTTAAAGTTTGCATTAAAAAAAAACATAGCAATCCAAAATAGGGTTGGGCAGTTAATATGTTGATACAAAATTATTTTTTGCATCCTCCTTCTCTCTCCTCTCGAGAGTGTCCCCCTTTCTTCAACCTAGCCGCCGCTCAGTCCATTTTCCCGATGACTGAGGCTTTGCCTCCACCACCTCCGCCAATTCCACCAGATCCTAATCCGCGGGCAGCTTCACCCCCTGGATCTACTTCCTCGGTAAAGGCTGATGATGTCATGTCATAGATGCCTCTCTCCTCTCCTCCTCCGGCAGCAGAGTCTTCGTCTCCGCCGGTTGCTCCTAAATCCGCGAGCGTCTCCGAACCAGTAAAGAACCCTGTGGGTGCTGATTCGGGTTTTGATTGGGCTAAAAACCTAAACTCCTCGGATAAAATTCCAGAACCCTCTGCTTCAGTATCCATAGCAGAATCGGACCGTCCCAGAGTAAAAGTCCCAAATGCTGTATTCGAGAGAGGAGCGAAGCTCCACAGCGATTACATTGTTGGTATTTTCTACGGGAAACCCCCTTCTTACGGGAAGATCTGGGGTGCCTTGAATTTCCTCTAGGGAAAGGATAAGCAAGTAACGGTGCATAACCTAACAAAAAACGCTTTCCTCTTCCACATTCATTCTCCTGCTCTAAGGAAACGGGTGTTGTAGCACAAACTGTGGCGGGTCGGTGACTCACCTTTCTTCGTCACTGAATGGAGGTCGGAATTTAGTTTGAACCCACCTTCACTTAAAAGAGCCCCAATCTGGGCAACTATTCAAGGGATCCCCTTCGAGCTCATCACTCCAGAAGGTTTGAGCTTCATATGCCGCCCCCTTGGAAAAGCAGTGGATTTGAAGCCCTTTAAAAGTATCAACTCAGCGGAAGTCAAGGTGGTAGTGGACCTCACAAAACCTCTTCCAAATGAGCTGAAGCTCGAAAGGGATGACGGCCAGATCCTCTTGTTAACAGTCACCTACCCATGGCTCCCCCCTCTTTGCTCTTTGTGTAATGAGATTGGGCATAAAGACTCTCTGTGCCCCCACTATCATTGGTCCTGAAAACAAACCTGCAATACCGCAGTCTGCAAAGTCCCCAGCCCATTTTAAAGAAAAGAGGAAAGGGAAGGAGATTCATGAAGAACAGAAAGCCGTCTGGAAACCAGTCGCCAATAAATTGGCAAGCTCATCTGAGACTGCAGGTCAAAGCTCAGAGGCGCCCCCTGTGCAGGAGTCTCACTATATGACCCGGGCTGAGCCTCAAGCTGTCCTTCCAGCTATTGATCGCTTTGTTATAACCCCGTTCAAGACCTCCGAGGTGCCAAAGGATGATACCCTACATACCACTGTCGGTCATCTTCTCCAGGAGTCCTCATCCTTAGCAGTCGTCGAGACCCCCTTTCTGCCAGTCTTGAAACCAGCTCATGCTTCTGCAAGTCCGCTGACTAGGGGTCCAACCATGCAAACTTCTAATCTGTTTGATATATTGCTTGTTGACGACATGGCTATGGTTATTTCAGACGATCCTCTCGCTCCTGATACCTATGAACCTTACACTTCTTCTTCATCACCGGCCCGCGGGAGAAAGAAGAAGAGAAAGATGGGTTCAAAGTCTTCACCTGTTACTGGTGGCGTTCTTTCTCGTGACGGGGAGAAGCGTCACAACCTCTAGCTTGTATATATGTCGGACACCTTTTTTTGGAATGTGCGGGGTCTTAATGAAGTTACAAAGCACCGCCCCCTCAAAACCTAGCTCTCTGCTAGACCAGTCACGTTTGGAGCGCTTTTAGAGATGCATGTTAAAGAAGTCAATAAGAACCATATTTTAGCAGCCTTAGGCCCTGAGTGGTCACTACTTTCGAATTACCAGTTCTCGGATCTAGGAAAGATTTGGGTCATATATAGAGATCCTACAAGAGTGAAAGTTCTATTTATGGATCTTCAGTTGATTACGTGTGAGGTTACTTTGGAGGATGGCATTAATTTTATCTACACGGCAGTCTACGCTTCAAATACAGAGGAGGATAGAAAGCTGTTATGGATTTCATTAAAGGACACGTGTGCTGCTTTTGACCTCTCAGAAAGAGCATGGCTTGTAAATGGGGATTTCAACGAGATTATAAGCCCCGAGGAGACTTCAAATGAGTCAATTACTAAATCGTCAAGAGGAATGAGGGACTTTGGGGATTGTTTACAGGAGACTGGTCTATTCGATCTCCCTTTCAATGGCTCTAAATTTACTTGGACGAACAACAGGCCTTCAGATCCCATTGCGAAAAAGTTGGATCGTTGTTTAGTTAATGGTACTTGGCAAGTGCGCTTCCCCGCGAGCCACTGCTCTTTTGAATCTCCAGCTTTCTCAGATCACTCGCCTTGCCACATCAGGTTAGTGATAGAGCCTCCAACCTATGGTACTCGGCCTTTTAAATTCTACAATCTTTTAGTCAAGCATCAAAAGTTTAAGGAGATTGTTCTTTTGGCTTGGTCTGAGGCTGGAGAGACAGCTGCCACGCTTAAAGATATTTGCTTCAAGCTGAAAAAGCTGAAAAGGCCATGAAATCACTATTCAAGGAAAATTTCAGTGATATCGAATTGAGACTCTCGGATGCGTCCTCTGTTCTTTCCTCCCTTCAGATTTTATCTTTGAATGACCCTTCTCCCGCAAATCTCCTGAAAGAGTCTCAAGCTCGTGATCACTGGCTTATGTTGAGGACTTCCGAGGAAAGTTTCTTTAAGCAAAGATCAAAAATACAGTGGATGTGTGAGGGAGACCTAAATACCCATTTTTATCACTGTGTCACCACTGCGAGGAACACTAGCAACCCAATAAAGAACTTCCTCAAGTCTGACGGCACCAGAACTTCTTCGTTGCAAAAAGCTCATGAGTTAGCTGTGGAATATTACTCTTCCATTCTGACCACAATTAGAGGAGACTTCTGCCCAGAATTGCCGGAATACTTGGAATCACTTGTCTCTACAACCTGTTCTGAGTTGCATCAGGGATTTCTCTATTTGCCGTTCAATGCTGCTATGATAAAAATGTGTTTGTTCAGAATGCCTTTAAACAAGACTCCGGGCCCAGATGGTTTTCCTGCAGAGTTTTTTAAAGCATCTTGGGATATTATTGGCTCTGAATTGTCAGCTTCTGTTCTGCATTTTTTCGATGCGAGATTCATCGCAACATCTCTCAACTCCACATCCCTGGTCCTTCTACCAAAGCGCCCAGGGGCAGAGGACTTAAAGGAATTCAGACCTATCTCCTGTCTCAACACGCTTTACAAGATCATTTCCAGACTGCTGACCGACAGGTTAAAATTAATTCTCCCGCCAATCAACCTTCCCAACCAAACAGCTTTTGTCAAAGACCGTTTGCTCTTAGAGAATGTCTTGTTGGCGTCAGAGATCATGCAAGGTTACCACAAAGAGGGGATTGTGGGTAGAATCACCTTAAAAGTCGACATTTTAAATGTTTTTGACTCCATTCGATGGGACTTTCTCCTAAGCTCACTTCAGGCGTACTAAATCCCAAATGTCTTTTTGAACTGGATAAAATCTTGCGTATGCTATCCGTCTTTCTCGGTAATCATAAATGGGGTCACGTCAGGGTACTCTAAAGGGAAGACTGGTTTGAGGCAAGGTGATCCTTTATCCCCAATTCTATTTATGATAGTCATGAACATCCTCTCTCTGATGTTGAATCAGGCTGCAGAGGAAGGAAAATTTGGGTATCACCCCGGCTGTGAAGAACTACGGTTGACACATCTCTGTTTTGGAGATGATATTTTAATCTTTCTGGATGGTACAGAACATTCTCTCCAAGGGGTTCTGTCGGTTCTCTCGACTTTTGAGAAGATGTCAGGCCTCGGGATAAACATTTAAAAGACATCTATGTTTTGCTCAGGCTTAGACAACAACGCCCAGGAAAAGATAACATCTATGTTCAACCTGAAGGCTTCGTCATTACCAATCAGGTACCTTGGTCTACCCTTATGTTCGAAAAAGCTGAGTGTAGCTGATTGTGATCCTCTTTTAAACCAAATAAAGCAGAAAATGAGCTCGTGGACCAATAGATTTCTCAGTATGGCGGGTGGGCTCACTCTGCTTTCCTCGTTATCTCTGGACTTGTGGGTTTTTGGACCAGTGCCTTCTTTCTGCCCAAGAAAGTGATTAAGCGGATAAATAGCCTTTCAAGCTCCTTTCTACGGCATGGTAAAGCGGGTATCTCGACAAGGGGCTAAGGTCGCCTGGGCTGACATTTCTTACCCTAAACCGGAAGGGGGTTTGGGTTTGAGGCACATTGACACCTGGAATGATGCTTGCGCATTAAAACTGATTTATATGCTGTTTTTTCGAGCGGGTTCTATCTGGGTTGCTTGGATCAAGAGCAGGTACCTCTAGACTTCTCCATTATGGGCTTTAAATGAAAAAAATAACGCCTACTCCTGGATGTTTCGGAAGGTACTCAAGTTACGTTCTAAAGCCCTCAGTTTTCTCAGCATCAAGATTGGTAATGGCGATTCCACGTTTTTCTGGTGAGATCCGTGGACCCCTTTTGGTTCTCTCTACTCATACTTGGGTTCAGAAGGCCCTACACGGTTGGGAATCCCCCTCTTTGCAACGGTCTCAGAGATTTGGTCGGGTGAGGGTTGGACCATTTCTTCGGCTAGATCAGAGCGACAAGTTATGCTCCATTCCTATATGTCAGGGCATCTTTGCTCTCAAACTACCGATCAGCCGGTTTGGTCCATTAATGGAATAAGTCAAAAGTGCTTCTCCTCCAAAGTGGAACGCATTTCGCCAAAAAAAGCTGGAACAGACTTGGCCGCCTCTTGTTAGGCATAAAGCCGAGATCCCTCGGCATCAGACAGCTACGTGGCTGTTTATTCTCAATCGAAACCCAACTCTTGACCGCTCGTTGAAGTGGGGTTACGACACAGAGGGTATTTGTCTCCTTTGCGGCTTAGACTACAAGACACGAGATCACTTGTTCTTCGAGTGCTCTTACTTGGCGGAAGTTTGGAGAAAGCTCACGCTGAAGCTTAACATCAGTGATCCTCCATTTCAATGGCAATAAATTCTTCTTTGGTTGCCGTCCGCAGCATCAGATGAATCGTCCAAACTTGCTCTACTACAAGGCTGGCAAAGCACTATTTTCGAACTATGGCGTGAAAGAAACCGTAGATTTCACGAAGGAATCACTTTCAATCAAGAAAAGGTGCTGAAGTTTATACTCACTACAGTAAAGAATAAATGTCGAGGTCTTATTCACATGAGTTCAAGTAAAGGTATTTCAAATCTTCAGCATTGGTCTGTGATCGGTCCATAGAGTGATTACTACTTATTATGATATCAGTTTTTCCTTCTTCCAAATTCTGATATCCGTTGGCTGTAATGGTTCTATTACTTTTTTCTGTAACATTCGTTTTATTCTAATATAAGAAAACCTTTTAACAAAAAAAAAATTGTTTTTATCAGGATAATAAATCCTGCCACCGTAAGACCTTTACCATAAGACACTCACGTTGTTGTAAGATTTGCCATGCTTGTTTCGCTAACCTAGCTATTTAGAAGTTTTCAGGATTTCTAAAACCTAGGCTGCCTTCTTTCTCTGGTAGACTTAGTCTATTCAAGTTATTATTATAGTTAAAATATAATATTAAATTATGTATAATTAAATCGATGATCTATATATCATTCCATACATCAGAAAAATAAAGAAAAGAAATTGAAGAAAGAGAAAAAAAAAGAATAACAATGGACTATAAAAAAGAATAAAATGATAAAAAGAAAGAGAATAACTTATGTATTTACTAAATAAAAGATTTATTGAGAAAATTATAAATCAATAGATAAATTACATTTATATTTAAAACTAAAATCACTTCTATCATAAAAATAAATATTTCTAAATAAAAGTAATAATGTAATTAAAAACTTTTACAACTAGATATTCAAACCTATAAAAACATAATTTTTATATAAAATCAATAATATACTAGGTGTTTCCCCGCACCTTGTGCGGGGTTTGATTAAATCTTTTAAAACATATAACATTAGTTTATTTATAGATAAAAAATCAGATTTTATAATGATTTGAAACCAAACTTAATATATTTGAAAAAATACAATTTTTATGAATATATTGTTTTTTGGTGACAAAACAAAATATATTATTTATATCTTATTTTTTAATATCTTTTATATTATCCGATAAAAATTTATAAATTTGTTTTTTGTTTTGTTGCATTTATCAAACATGATAAATAATTCTCTTCTTTTGATGTAAATTGGTATATTATGATTAATAAAATTAAAAGTTTGCATTAAAAAAAAAAACATAGCAATCCAAAATGGCCAAAACCAAAGGATCCTTTTTTCATATCAACTTAATATTAATTAATATATATAGAGTTTTAAAAGGGTTGAGATGATTTAAAGTTTTACTTATTATCGCATAAATCAATTAGGTTAGTCAAAATATTAGTAGGTTAAACAATCAAATTAAAATTAGTTTAATGAAATAATTAGGATTTCTTTATAAATTCTAGTTACCTTTTTTAATAAACTGTATATTTTTATGATATAAACTTGAATTTGTAAATCATGATTTTAAAAGAGCAAAAATCAATTAAAAATTAGATTATATTAATTTGTTAGTTTTATTAAGATCATAAAAATAAATATTTCTAAATAAAAATAATAGTGTAATTAAAAAAAATTACAATTAGATATTAAAACCTATAAAAACATAATTTTTATATAAAATCAATAATATACTAGGTGTTTCTCCGTACCTTGTGTGGGATTTGATTATTTTTTTAAAAAAAAGAATAACATTAATTTATTTATAGATAAAAAATCAGTTTTTATAATGATTTGAAACCAAATTTAATATATTTGAAAAAATACAATTTTTATGAATATATTGTTTTTGGTGACAAAATAAAATATATTATTTATATCTTATTTGTTAATATCTTTTATATTATCCGATAAAAATTTATAAATATGTTTTGTTGTTTTGTTGTATTTATCAAACATGATAAATAATTCTCTTCTTTTGATGTAAATTGGTAGATTATGATTAATAAAATTCAAAGTTTGTATTAAAAAAAAACATAGCAATCCAAAATAGGTTTGGGCAGTTAATATGTTGATACAAAATTATTTTTTCCAGCCTCCTTCTCTCTCCTCTCGAGAGTGTCCCCCTTTCTTCAACCTAGCCGCCGCTCAGTCCATTTTCCCGATGACTGAGGCTCCGCCTCCACCACCTCCGCCAATTCCCCAGATCCTAATCCGCGGGCAGCTTCACCCCCTGGATCTACTTGTTCAGTAAAGGCTGATGATGTCATGTCATAGATGCCTCTCTCCTCTCCTCCTCCGGCAGCAGAGTCTTCGTCTCCGCCGGTCGCTCCTAAATCCGCAAGCGCCTCCGAACCAGTAAAGAACCCTGTGGGTGCTGATTCGGGTTTTGATTGGGCTATAACCCTAAACTCCTCTGGCAAAATTCCTGAATCCTCTGCTCCAGTATCCATAGCAGAATCGGGCCGTCCCAGAGTAAAAGTCCCAAATGCTGTATTCGAGAGAGGAGTGAAGCTCCACAGCGATTACATTGTTGATATTTTCTACGGGAAACCCCCTTCTTACGGGAAGATCTGGGGTGTCTTGAATTTCCTCTGGGGAAAGGATAAGCGAGTAACGGTGCATAACCTAACAAAAAACGCTTTCCTCTTCCACATTCCTTCTCCTGCTCTGAGGAAACGGGTGTTGCAGCACGAACTGTGGCGGGTCAGTGACTCACCTTTCTTCGTCACTGAACGGAGGTCGGAAGTTAGTTTGAACCCACCTTTGCTTAAAAGAGCCCCAGCCTGGGCAACTATTCAAGGGATCCTCTTCGACCTCATCACTCCAGAAGGTTTGAGCATCATATGCCGCCCCCTTGGAAAAGCAGTGGATCCTCTTCGACCTCATCACTCCAGAACCTGGCTCTCTGCTAGATCAGTCACGTTTGGAGCGCTTTTAGAGATGCATGTTAAAGAAGTCAATAAGAACCATATTTTAGCAGCCTTAGGCCCTGAGTGGTCACTACTTTCGAATTACCAGTTCTCGGATCTAGGAAAGATTTGGGTCATATATAGAGATCCTACAAGAGTGAAAGTTCTATTTATGGATCTTCAGTCGATTACGTGTGAGGTTACTTTGGAGGATGGCACTAATTTTATCTACACGGCAGTCTACGCTTCAAATACAGAGGAGGATAGAAAGCTGTTATGGATTTCATTAAAGGACATGTGTGCTGCTTTTGACCTCTCAGAAAGAGCATGGCTTGTAAATGGGGATTTCAACGAGATTATAAGCCCCGAGAAGACTTCTAATGAGTCAATTACTAAATCTTCAAGAGGAATGAGGGACTTTGGGGATTGTTTACAGGAGACTGGCCTATTCGATCTCCCTTTTAATGGCCCTAAATTTACTTGGACGAACAACAGACCTTCAGATCCCATTGCGAAAAATTTGGATCGTTGTTTGGTTAATGGTACTTGGCAAGTGCGCTTCCCCGCGAGCCACTGCTCTTTTGAAAATCCAGCTTTCTCTGATCACTCGCCTTGCCACATCAGGTTAGTGACAGAGCCTCCAACCTATGGTACTCTGCCTTTTAAATTCTACAATCTTTTAGTCAAGCATCAAAAGTTTAAGTTTCTTTTGGCTTGGTCTGAGGCTGGAGAGACAGCTGCCACGCTTAAAGATTTTTGCTTCAAGCTGAAAAAGCTGAAAAGGCCAATGAAATCACTATTCAAGGAAATTTTCAGTGATATCGAATTGAGAGTCTCAGATGCATCCTCTGTTCTTTCCTTCCTTGAGGTTTTATCTTTGAATGACCTTTCTACCGCAAATCTCCTTAAAGTGTCTCAAGCTTGTGATCACTGGCTTATGTTGAGGACTGCCGAGGAAAGTTTCTTTAAGCAAAGATCAAGAATACAGTGGATGTGTGAGGGAGACCTGAATACCCATTTTTATCACTGTGTCACCACTACGAGGTATGCTAGCAACGCAATAAAACACTTCCTCAAGTCTGACGGCACCAGAACTTCTTCGTTGCAAGAAGCTCATGAGTAAGCTGTGGGTTATTACTCTTCCTTTCTGACCACAATTAGAAGAGACTTCTGCCCAGAATTGCCGGAATACTTGGAATCACTTGTCTCTACAACCTGTTCTGAGTTGCATAAGGGATTTCTCTCTTTGCCGTTCAATGCTGCTATGATGAAAAGGTGTTTTTTCAGAATGCCTATATACAAGACTCCGGGCCTGGATGGTTTTCCTGCAGAGTTTTTTAAAGCATCTTGGGATATTATTGGCTCTGAATTGTCAGCTTCTATTCTGCATTTTTTCGAGGCGAGTTTCATCCCAACATCTCTCAACTCCACATCCCTGGTCCTTCTACCAAAGCGCCCATGGGCAGAGGAATTAAAGGAATTCAGACCTATCTCCTGTCTCAACACGCTTTACAAGATCATTTCCAGACTGCTGACCGACAGGTTAAAATTAATTCTCCCGCCAATCATCCTTCCCAACCAAACAGCTTTTGTCAAAGACCGTTTGCTCTTGGAGAATGTCTTGTTGGCGTCATAGATCATGCAAGGTTACCACAAAGAGGGGATTGTGGGGAGAATCACCTTAAAAGTCGACATCTCAAAGGTTTTTGACTCCGTCAGATGGGACTTTCTCCTAAGCTCACTTCAGGCGTACAAAATCCCAAATGTCTTTTTGAACTGGATAAAATCTTGCGTGTGCTATCCGTCTTTCTCGGTAACCATAAATGGGGTCACGTCAGGGTACTCTAAAGGGAAGACTGGTTTGATGCAAGGTGATCCTTTATCCCCAATTCTATTTATGATGGTCATGAACATCCTCTCTCTGATGTTGAATCAGGCTGCAGAGGAAGAAAAGTTTGGGTATCACCCCGGCTGTGAAGAATTATGGTTGACACATCTCTGTTTTGCAGATAATCTTTTGATCTTTCTGGATGGTACAGAATATTCTCTCCAAGGGGTTCTGTCGGTTCTCTCGACTTTTGAGAAGATGTCAGGCCTCGGGATAAACATTCAAAAGACATTTATGTTTTGCTCAGGCTTAGACAACAACGCCCAGGAAAGGATAACATCTCTGTTCAACCTGAAGGTTTCATCATTGCCAATCAGGTACCTTGGTCTACCCTTATGTTCGATAAATCTGAGTGAAGCTGATTGTGATCCTCTTTTAGCCCAAATAAAGCAGAAACTGAGCTCGTGGACCAATAGATTTCTCAGTATGGCGGGTAGGCTCACTCTGCTTTCCTCGGTTATCTCGGGAATTGTGGGTTTTTTGACCAGTACCTTCTTTCTGCCCAAGAAAGTGATTAAGCAGATAAATAGCCTTTCAAGCTCCTTTCTGTGGCATGGTAAAGCGGGTATCTCGACAGGGGCTAAGGTCGCCTGGGCTGACATTTCTTACCCTAAATCGGAAGGGGGTTTGGGTTTAAGGCACATTGACACCTGGAATAATGCTTGCGCATTAAAATTGATTTGGATGCTGTTTTTTAGAGCGGGTTCTATCTGGGTTGCTTGGATCAAGAGCAGGTACCTCCAGACTTCTCCATTATAGGCTTTAAATGAAAAAATAATCCCTACTCATGGATGTTTCGGAAGGTACTCAAGTTACGTTCTAAAGCCCTCAGTTTTCTCAGCTTCAAGATTGGTAATGGCGATTCCACATTTTTCTGGTGGGATCCGTGGACCCCTTTTGGTTCTCTCTACTCATACTTGGGTTCAGAAGGCCCTACATGGTTGGGAATCCCCCTCTTTACAACGGTCTCAGAGATTTGATCGGGTGAGGGTTGGACCATTCCTTCGGCTAGATCAGAGTGACAAGTTATGCTCCATTCCTATATGTCAGGGATTCTTTGCTCTCAAACTACTGATCAGCCGGTTTGGTCCATTGATGGAATAATTCAAAAGTGCTTCTCCTCCAAAGCAATGTGGAACGCAATTCGCCGAAAAAGCCGGAACAGACTTAGCCACCTCTTGTTTGGCATAAAGCCATGATCCCTCGGCATCAGACAGCTACATGGCTGTTTATTCTCAATCGAAACCCAACTCTTGACCACTCGTTGAAGTGGGATTACGACACAGAGGGTATTTGTCTCCTTTGCGGCTCAGACTATGAGACATGGGATCACTTGTTCTTCGAGTGCTCTTACTCGGCGGAAGTTTGGAGAAAGCTCACGCTGAAGCTTAACATCAGAGATCCTCCATTTCAATGGCAACAAATTCTTCTTTGGTTGCCGTCTGCAGCATCAGATGAATCATCTAAACTTGCTCTATTACAGGGCTGGAAAAGCACTATTTTCGAACTATGGCGTGAAAAAAACCGTAGATTTCACGCAGGAATCACTTTCAATCAAGAAAAGGTGCTGAAGTTTATACTCTACAGTAAAGGATAAATATCGAGGTCTTATTTACATGGGTTCAAGTAGAGGTATTTCAATTCTTCAGCGTTGGTCTGTGATCGGTCCATAGGGTGATCACTACTTATTATGATATCAGTTTTTCCTTCTTCCATATTCTGATATTCGTTGGCTGTAATGGTTCTATTTACTTTTTTGTAACATTCGTTTTATTCTAATATAAGAAAACTCTTTAACAAAAAAAAAATATGTTTCTATCAAGATAATAAATCCCGCCCTAAGACCTTTACCATAAGACACTCACGTTGTTGTAAGATTTGTCATGCCTGTTTTGCTAACCTAGCTATTTAGAAGTTTTCAGGATCTCTAAAACCTAGGCTGCCTTCTCTCTTTGGTAGACTTTGTCTATTCAAGTTATTATTATAGTTAGAATATAATATTAAATTATGTATAATTAAATCGATGATCTATATATCATTCCATACATCAGAAAAAGAAAGAAAAGAAGTTGAAGAAAGAAAAAAGAAAGAATAACAATGGACTATAAAAAGGAAAAAAATGATAAAAAGAAAGAGAATAACTTATGTATTTACTAAATAAAAGATTTATTGAGAAAATTATAAATTAATAGATAAATTACATTTTTATTAAAAACTAAAAACACTTTTATCATAAAAATAAATCTTTCTAAATAAAAATAATAGTGTAATTAAAAAAATTTACAACTAGATATTCAAACCTATAAAAACATAATTTTTATATAAAATCAATAATATATTGGGTGTTTTCCTGCACCTTGTGTGGGGTTTGATTAAATCTTTTAAAAAGTATAACATTAGTTTATTTATAGATAATAAAATCAAATTTTATAATGATTATAAACCAAACTTAATATATTTGAAAAAATATAATTTTTATGAATATATTGTTTTTTGGTGACAAAGCAAAATATATTATTTATATCTTATTTTTAATATCTTTTATATTATCCGATAAAAAATTATAATATGTTTTGTTGTTTTGTTGCATTTATCAAACATGATAAATAATTCTCTTCTTTTAATGTAAATTGGTAGATTATGATTGATAAAATTCAAAGTTTGCATTAGAAAAAAATATAGCAATCCAAAATGACCAAAACCAAAAGATCCTTGTTTCATATCAACTTAATATTAATTAATATATATATAGATTTTTAAAAGGGTTTAAATAATTTAGAGTTTTACTTATGATCGCATAAATCAATTAGGTTAGTCAAAATATTAGTAGGTTAAACAATCAAATTAAAATTAGTTTAATGAAATAATTAGGATTTTTTTTATATATTCTAATTATTTTTTTAGTAAACTATATATTTTTATGATATAAACTTGAATTTAGAAATCTAGATTTAAAAAAACAAAAATCAATTAAAAATTAGATTATAATAATTTGTTAATTTTATTAAGGATGATTAAAGTAAATTCACATCAGGAACAAAAGGTAATTTTCAATGACAGCTCAATTTGCTAGCCAATTAATAATATGATTATATTATATATTTGATATAAACCGTTTTTGATCTACACATATCTTCCAAATTCAGGGCAGATAAGAAGGAGAAATCGTGGGAACAACCGTCTTTGATCACGCCACTACCATTAGGGTTTTGCTCTCTCTCTCGGTGATTACTGATTTAAGCATACAATTATGGGTTTGCACTTCGTCGCCAAAATCTATTCCAGAATTAGAGCAGCGAATAAGCGAACGTCGAAACGGTTCTCTCTGATTCCGTCGCTTCCCGACCGGAAGACGTCATCGTTGACATAATAGCGCGTCTACCGAGATGCGACTACCCAACACTGTCCCTCGTTTCTAAGCAGTTTAGATCACTCGTTGCGTCTCCTGAGCTATACGTCAGTCGATCTTTGTTAGGTTGCACCGAAGACTCCCTCTATAACATTGAAACCGATGATGACCGTTGGTATATTCTCCGCCGGAAAGCCAACGGGTTCAGCAGCTTGGTCCTTATCTCTTCGCTTCCCACTCTGCCTTCCTTTGGATCCAAGGCTTCCGGAAGCTATGTTGCAGTGGGCTCGAGGATATATGGGCTTGGTGGGATTCACAATGACGATACGACAATGAATGCGGTAACCATCGACTGTAGATCTCACACAGTGCAACCTCTCACCAGCATGCTTGTGCACATGTGTGATCCAATCGCTGACATCATCCATGGGAGAATCTACGTAGCTGGAAATAGCTTTCATGATAATGTCCGGAAGAAGGTGATGGTGGTGTTCAATACAGAAACACAAAAGTGGGAGGAACCTAGGATTATAAAGGTAGACATTGAGCTTGGTGGTCACACGTACGTATTGTTATGGCTGTGTGATGATGGCTGATAAGCTGTACACGAGGGATTATCATAACAGCTTTGTTTACGACCCAAAGCACAATAAATAGGAATTTAAAGAAGTGGAACGATGCGTGTGTGGTTGATGACGTATTGTACTACTTCGATTTGGCTGAGAAGAGTATAAGAACGTATGATCCAAAGCAGAGGTATTGGGGAGTGCTGAATGGTGTGGAAGAACTGTTGGCTGGGACGGAATCATGTTCATACATTGACATTGTGAGTTGCGGTGAGAGATTGGCTTTGTTTTTTTCCAAAGGACAAGGAAGATTAAGAGACATTTGGTGTGCGGAGATATCGCTGGAAAGACCTCAAGGAGGAGAGATTTCAGGTAAAGTTGAGTGGTGTGATATTTTTTGTATAACACCGCGTCTCCTCATGTGAGATGACGTGTTAAACACTCAACTTTCCAATCAAGTTACCACAGTATTAACTCAAATCAATACTCATTTCATAGATATAAATCCAAATCGTCTTGCAAATAACCAACTTAAACTCAAATAAGTCATAATCAAGTCTCAAAAAACCAACTGAAAACCATTTGAAATAGAAAGCTAAGTGTCTTAAGGACCCCAAGGACCGAACTAGAGAACCAGCTCGCCACCATCACACGCCAATCACTCATGCTGCTCCTGCTCACCTGCGCAAGGGTGAAATGGAAAGGAAGGGATGAGTAATTTAGATTACCTAGGAGAATGCATACATGTGGTCCACCACACATATCATTACCCAACCTATCGTTAGCTAGAGCCAAACGAACAAGCGCAATTTAATGATTCCTCTAACAATCAACAAACAAATATGCAATGCACAAAGGGAGCATACTGAACGCCTCTCGTTACAGTACCCCACGGATTAACCTCCGCAAATTTTGTACGTCTTACACCCTTGCTAGGGGACGCATCTCCACAAGAGTCTAAGTCGCTGCACGACTGGTCTGTCGACCTGAGCGCCACATGGCACTACGACAGGCACATCCTCTATCGCAGGCGTCAATCATGCCAGCAGTGCCTCTCACTGCTGGATCCTAATGCAGTTTGTGCTTTCACACACTATATGCAATGCAATGCAGTTCACAACTCTCACAAGCAATAAGCAACATCAAGCAGCAATCAACAGTATTAATCCATACCTAGATCTATGTTCTGAAAGTAAATAACAACCTAGCAAACAGCACAGATCTACAAGTTACGACATAGAGCGGAACTTGTAGGGGATTTAGAGGACTCGAGAGTCAGATCTAACAGGAGAAGCTAGCTAACGATATCGAAGGAAAGGCATGAACACATCCTCACTTTTGCCTAATCGAATGAAAGCTAAAAAGGGATCTAGGGTTTAAGGGATCTAACGACGGAAAGCAAAGGACTCAAGAAAACGACGGCTAGGAACGGCGGCTCTCCTCGGCGGCAGCGGTTGGCGGCGAAGACGAACGGCGGCGGCGGCTTGCTCGGTTAGGGTTCCTAGGTTCTATCTCTGAGTGCTTTGGGAGTTGTGATGGAAATCCTAACTCCCTAGCTCTATTTATATAGGGAAGACTATGGGAAACCCCTAATACCCTTTCCTCTTGGACATCTGACACATGGGCCTTTCCTTTTCCTATTGGGCCTAGATCCAGGGCGTTACAATTCTCCCTCTCTTTGGAGGAATTCGCCCTCGAATTCTTGTAACCACTCTACGATCCCCTCGCACCCTCAAAAAGTTCAGGACACCATTTCCTCATGTTATTTTCCTCTTCTCAGGTCTCCTCACTAATTCCATCTCTTTCCCAACACACCAAGACCATCCAGGTTTCCTTCCCCTGAACGTTCCTTGTCTGATATTCCTTTATCGAGACAGGCGTGCTTTGCACCCGGAGGTTTCCACTCACATCCACTGGCGGATCAGGTAGTATCAGCTCAGGCTCTCTAACTACCTTCCTCAACACAGATACATGGAACACATTATGGAAGTCAGACAACTCTTGTGGCAAATCCAATCGATATGCCACATTGCCAACTCTCTCAATGACCCTATATGGTCTCATGTACCTTGGCTTAAGCTTTTTCAGCTTCCTAATCTCCTTCACATTTTCAGGTAGACCTCATCTCCAACTGAAAACACTAAATCTTTCCTACGCTTATCAGCATAACTCTTCTGACGGTCGTGGGCTTCCTTAAGTCTGTCCTTAAGCAATTCCACTTGTGTAACCGTCTCCTTGACCTTGTCCGGCTCTAGGTCACGTCGCTCACCTACCTCAGTCCAACAGAGGGGAGTGCGACACAGTCTACCATACAGAGCCTCGTATGGAGACATACCATTACTCGAGTGATAACTGTTGTTGTAGACAAACTCAGCTAACAGTAAGTACTCTCCCCACTTCCTCGCCCAGTCAAGAACACACGCCCGGAGCATGTCCTCGAGGGTCTGAATCATCCTTTCTGATTGTCCATCCATTTGGGGGTGATAGGCAGTACTGCGATGAACCGTAGTTCCTAATGCTTTCTGAAAAGCCTGCCAGAACATCGATGTGAACTTCGGATCATGATCTGACACTATGCTGACTAGAACTCTATGCAGTCTCACTCTGGAATCCAGATACTTCTAAGCTAAGCGATCGGCTCCATCCGTCTTCCTAATGGCTAAGAAGTGCGCCGACTTGGTAAGGCGGTCTACGATTACCCAATTCGCATCCTTATACCCAGTAGTCCGCGGCAGTCCGATGACAAAATCCATAGTTACCATGTCCCATTTCCATTCTGGTAGTGGTAAGTTCTAGAGTAGTCCACTTGGAACCTGATGTTCTGCTTTCACTTGCTGACATGTCTGACACTGTGACACCCAGATGGCGACGTCCTTCTTCATAACGTCTCAATGGTAGTACCTCTTCAAGTCTCGGTATATCTTAGTGCTTCCCGGATGGATAGCAAACAGTGACTGATGAGCTTGGCGCAGGATGTCGTCCTTCAGATCCTTTACCCTCAGAACGCAAACCCTATCACAGAATAGGTAAGTTCCATTGAGCGCAACGCGGTACCCATCCACCTTGCGGTCAATCAACTTCCTGAGTGCATGGTCGTCCTTCTGAGCCTCGCGGATCCATTCCAATAGGTCCGCTTGACCCACGGCTTCCAAACTGTTGGCCGGCTCATCAATGGTAGTGGCGCACAAGCGCATGCTGGCTACCATCGAGACTAGCTCCTCAGCTTCCTTAGCAACTGATACATCTACCTTTCGTCTACTCAGGGCGTCCGCCACTTGATTGGCTTTCCCGGGATGGTAGACGATATCCAAGTTGTAGTCTGCCAACAACTCTACCCACCTACGCTGTCTCAGATCCAGGTTCCCTTAGGTAAAGATGTACTTAAGACTTTTATGGTCCGTAAACACTTGCACCTTCTCCCCGTACAAGTATGAACGCCAAATCTTAAGGGCAAATACTACTGCTGCTAACTCTAAATCGTGCGTGGGGTAATTGACCTCATGTTTGCGCAACTGCCGTGAGGCATATGCGACCACCTTCTCCTCTTACATGAGCACGCAACCGAGTCCAGTCCCCGATGCGTCTGTATACACACCATGTATGGTACACCTGTCCTTGATAATACCAAAACGGGGGTATCGGTCAAACATCCCTTCAGATCTGTAAAACTCTTAGCACAAGCTTCCGTCCATTGGAACTTAACGTCCTTGCCTGTTAAGGCTGTCAATGGCTTGGCCATACTTGTAAATCCTTTCACATACTTCTTGTAGTACCCAGCCAAACCCAAGAAACTACAGGCCTCAGTAGCACTTGTCGGCGCAGGCCAGTTGGTAAAAGAAGTGATCTTTTCCGGATCCACCGCTACACCGGCTTTGGATACTACATGGCCTAGGAATCCGATCTTCCTCTGCGAGAAGCTGCACTTACTGAATTCGCAAACAACTGATGCTCCCTCAACTTCTCCAAAACAATCCGCAGATGCCTGTCATGCTCCTCTTTACTCCTAGAGTAGACTAATATGCCATCAATGAAGACAATCACACACTTATCCAAGTGTTCGCGAATAACGTCATTCATCAACTTTATAAAGGCAGCGGGCACGTTAGTCAGTCCAAATGGCATAACCATGAACTCGTAATGACCATAACGCGTCCAAAATGCTGTCTTCTTCACATCCTCCTCTGCTATGGGTATCTGATGATATCCTGACGCAAGATTGATCTTTGAGAACCAAGAGGCTCCCTGCATCTGGTCCAACAGCTCATCGAGGGTACTTATTCTTAATAATCACCTTATTCAAACCTCCATAATCAATACAGAGTCTGAAGCTACCGTCCTTTTTCTTCACGAATAGCACAGGTGCTCCCCATGGCGAGCTACTTGACTGGATAAACCCTTTATCCAACAAGTCCTGAAGCTGCTTCTTCAGCTCAGCCATTTCCGCAGGCGCTAAACGATAAGGAGCCTTTGATACGGGCGCCGTCCCGGGCTCAACTTCAATCGTAAAGGCATCACCTCGCGTGGGAGGTGGTCCTTGCAGCGGGTCGAATACGTCCACATATTCGGCTGCTAAAGAAATCGCACTAAGATCTGCCACTACTTCCTCTTCTACCATCGAAATGGTGGCCAGATATGCCTCATGCCCCTTCCTTAGAAGCTCTTCTGCATGCAACATCAAGATGATTCTGACTCCTGACTTCAACTGAACGCCTTGGAACGTTATCATACGATCCTCCTTGGGAATCCTGACCCGCGCCTTATGACAGTCCAAAGTCGCATGGTATCGGGTCAGCCAGTCCATTCCCAAGATGACCTCATAGTGGTTCAGCTTCATTTCTATGAGATCCCAAGGCAAATCCACACCTTGCAACGTTATGGGGACTTTAACGTGCACTCCCGTGGATTATACCAGCTCGGTTCCAGCCGTCTGGATCCCCTTGGACTTCGGAACACATGTTCCCTTAAACGTCCAACCTCTCACTATCTCCGAACAAATGAAGCTATAGGTAGCTCCCGAGTCGAACAGAGTGTGAGCTGTTATGCCTCCAACGAGGACCGAACCTACAGGATTTCTACTTCTAAGGCTCTACTCTACAAACACACAACTAACACACAGAACTTAAAACTTCTAAACCATAACAACTATTTACTTACCAGCAATCGGTTCCACACCAGCGTGGTCTCCTGCCATGAACAAGCGTGGTCTCCTGCCATGAGCAAACGCGGTCCAGGGGCATGTCTCTTTAGTGCTGGTGGTAACTGTTCCTGATTGCCTCCTCCGTGTGGTACTAGCACTCTGCAGTCCCTTACATTGTGCCCAACCCGTCCACAGCGGTAGCACGACTCCACTGGCACTGCTGCTGGACACTCCCGAGCCATATGGCCCGGTTGGTTGCACCTGAAGCATGCTGCTCTGCGATACACTCCATGGTTGTACTTCCCACACCTGTTACACGGATTCGATGGTCCGTTCCTTTGGTTCGCATTATCCCAAGTTCGCTTATGGGTTTTCGTCCTCTTAGCGGCTTTAGCTTGGGCATTCCGTGCAACCTTCTGCTCCTCTTCCATTCCAATCTCCTAAGTTGCAGCCGTTTCCACGAGGTCAATCATACTGTCATACCTTCTTATGGAGTACCGATTTTTGAGTTCAACCTGCATTCCCCTAAGGAAATGTCGGATCAACTCTTGCTCTCCTGGGTGTTGACCAGCAAATCTCCTCAAACGACTGAACTCCTCCTCGTACTCGCGTACGGTCTTGCTTCCTTGGCGCAAGTCTTGGAATGCATTCACCATCTTTTCCATCGCCTCGCGAGGAACGTACTTACGGGAAAATTCTGTCCTGAAATCTTCCCAGGTGAGTTCATACCGTCCCTCAGCCTTCTCCACAAGACCTTCCCACCATACCAGTGCCTCGTCCTTCAGGTACTGGATGGCCAGGTCTCTGCGGTATGCTAGCGGACACCTCGCTCCATCCAGATTCCTTTATAACTTCTTTCTCCAGTTGTCTGCGGCAGTAGGATCGCTCTTACCCGCAAACATCTCAGTTCTCATGAGACGAACATGATTCATAGCCTCCCAATAGGTCGGTACAGGCTCCCTGTCCTGCCCACGACCTAAAGGTGGTAGTGGGGGTAAATGTACCTCCACTCGCGGCTCATCACAGCACGGATTGGCACCTCCATACACTCTTTCCGCATTGAGATTTCCACGAAGAGGGTTTCCATACCTCTCGCGGTACCTCAACAGCTCTTCTCTTTCAGCAGCTGCCTCTGCAGCTCGAGCCTGCTCTACAACGCGAGTTTCCTCAGCAATGCGAGCCTGCTCAGCCACACGAGTTTTCTCTGCAATACGCGCTTGCTCTGCCACTCGCGCTTGCTCAGCCACACGCGCCTGCTCTTCCTGAGCCTGGGCGGCGGCACGGTCCTGTTCCGCAGCTAAAGCCTGATGCGCGGCTAAAGCTTGAGCACGTGCTTCCTATGCCTGCCCCCTGGCACGAGTCTGCCCGGTATTGCCTCCACTCACACTTCCTGTTGAAGTGGTCTGGGTTCCTTCCTCACTCTCACGGCGTGCTGCAGCCCTAGTCAAATGCTGTCCCTTTGGTGGCACCTATTCACAAGAATAAGTAATCAGAATCGTGTCTTCCGATTCGATTAGCCACAACTAATGCAGATACAACCACAACTTATGCAGATACAGTAGACACTAAACGATGTAGACAACAGATGAAGACGGTAGACACTATGTAGAATGTAGACAGTAGATGAAGATGAACTGAAGATAACTAAAAATACTAACTTACTGAGCCTGGAGAGCAGAGTGACGTGGTGTGATGATGCTGTTTTACTTTTGAAAACCCCAACCCACTTTTAAAAACTTTTGAAAACGGTTTTACTTGGAAAACATGTCTCCCGGGTCAGAACCGGCTTGACTGATAACCTTGGCTCTGATACTAAACTTGTAACACTGACTCTCCTCATGTGAGATGACGTGTTAAACACTCAACTTTCCAACCAAGTTACCACAGCATTAACTTCAAATCAATACTCATTTCATAGATATAAATCCAAATCGTCTTGCAAATAACCAACTTAAACTCAAATAAATCATAATCAAGTCTCAAAACCAACTGAAAACCATTTGAAATAGAAAGCTAAGTGTCTTAAGGACCCCAAGGACCGAACTAGAGAATCAGCTCGCCACCATCACACGCCAATCACTCCTGCTGCTCCTGCTCACCTGCGCAAAGGGGAAAAAAAAAGGAGGGAATGAGTAATTTAGATTACCCAGGAGAATGCATACATGTGGTCCACCACACATATCATTACCCAACCTGTCGCTAGCTAGAGCCAAACGAACAAGCGGAGTTTAATGATTCCTCTAACAATCAACAAACAAATATGCAATACACAAAGCGAGCATACTGAACGCCTCTCGTTACAATTAACCTCCGCAAGTTTTGTATGTCTTACACCCTTACTAGGGGACACATCTCCGCAAGAGTCTAAGTCGCTGCACGACTGGTCCGTCGACCTGAGCGCCACATGGCACTACGACAGGCACATCCTCTGTCGCAGGCGTCAATCATGCCAGCAGTGCCTCTCACTGATGGGTCATAATGCAGTTTGTGCTTTTACACACTATATGCAATGCAATGCAGTTCACAATTCTCACAAGCAATAATCAACATCAAGCAGCAATCAACAGTATTAATCCATACCTAGATCTATGTTCTGAAAGTAAATAACAACCTAGCAAACAGCACAGATCTACAAGTTACAACCTAGAGCGGAACTTGTAAGGGATTTAGAGGACTTGAGAGTCAGATCTAACAAGAGAAGCTAGCTAACGATATCGAAGGGAAGGCATGAACACATCTTCACCTTTGCCTAATCGAATGAAAGCTAAAAAGAGATCTAGGGTTTAAGGTATCTAACGATGGAAACCAAAGGACTCAAGAAAACGACGGCTAGGAACGACGGCGGCTCTCCTCGGCGGCGGCGGTCGACGGCGAAGACGAACGGCGGCGACGGCTGCTCGGTTAGGGTTCCTAGGTTCTATCTCTGAGTGCTTTGGGAGTTGTGATGGATATCCTAACTCTCTAGCTTTATTTATATAGGGAAGACTCTGGGAAAACCCTAATACCCTTTCCTCTTGGGCTTCTGACATATAGGCTTTTCCTTTTTCTATTGGGCCTAGATCCAAGGCGTTACATTTTGACTGGGAATTTTTTACTTGATGATACCTCTAGCTGTTACGGTTTGATGCAAGAACTGTTCTTCATATATAACTTGTTTTTTGGTTGTTTTTTTATGGAAAAACTCTTCTTCGTCTAACTTGTTTTCACTGGGAATTTTTGTCTCGATGAAACCTCTAGTTAGCATTTACGGTTTGATGCAAAAACTCTCCTTCATACAACTGTTTTTTTCTTTAGCTGTTATGGTTTGATGCAAGATCTCTCCTTCATATGACTTGTGATTTGTTTTTGAAAGCATAGTAAACCTAGAGGAGCTCAAATGAAGCTACAGAGATGTTAAAGATCGACCATGTAACAGAGCAACCATCTTCAACATTTGACATTTGTAAAGATTATTTATTTCTTTCTTGATTGCTTTGTTAAATCTTATGCTTTTTTTTTCTTGCTACTGTGTGATGCTAAGAAGTCCTTTTACCTTAGTAATGCAAATACAAATGTACAAGTACAATGCATGGCTTATTGTAAACCTAAGAGTGTAACGATCACATCCTTGTAAAGATCGAGAAAATATATATTCGCAAGTTAGCAATTATCAAATACTAGCCGAAAATCCTTAAAAACACATCAGCTAAACAAATCTAAAACGTAAATATCAAAAGGAGAAGATAAAACAGAGAAAATAATTATAAAAAATTTACAGAAGATAAAAGGAAGAAGGTTAACTCGATAAGAAAAATAAAAAGGAAAAAGCAAAGTTTATAAGAGAAAAAAAGGAAAAAAAAAACAAACAAAAGGAGAAAAAGAATAACTCTTGCCTGTTTTCGTTCTTTATAGAAACTCTTCTTTTGAATTCCCTCGTCGTCATCGAATCAAGGTTCTTCCTCTATCTTCTGTTAGAAGGATCGTGCCTCGGCATCATGATCCTGAATAACTCTTGCCTGTTCTAAAGGAATCTTATTCAGAAGAAGAAGCAGTTGGTGGGATGTTGTTTTGAGTTTGAATATCCAGTCATAGTTTATTATGGTAGAGAGAGACAATACTCTCCTATCGATTTAAAAATGATCGTGTCGTGGACTCTTCACAATGCGTTCCCAAGACCTTTTGTGTATAGAAACATGGGTTTTCGGAATATCTTGTTGGATGAAAATGGTGTAGCGAAGCTGAATGATTTATCTTATTGTGTCTCGATTCCACCGCGAGAAACATTTGTCAAACTTACTTGGGCAGGGAAAGATTACGATCACATGTATCTTTAATCGCATAGTGTCGGAGAAAACCGATGTGTTCGGCTTTGGGATTTTCATGCAAAAGCTTCTAACAGGAGAAGAAAGATTTGCTGAGCTTTGTGGTTAGAAGAATTGGAGAGAGAAAAACAAGTTTCCAAAATGGTTGTCTAAATACATGGGAGAAGGAAGAATGGATGAGATCGTGGATCCAAATATGTTAGAGAAAATGCGTGAAGTTTCTGAAGAAGAGCATTGGCACATGGAAGGTTTCCTTGTCCTTTCAGAGAGATGCATCGGTCTTAGAGGGCAAGTTCCAAAAATGTTGGAAGTAGCCAAAGAACTAAAGAGTAGAGTTGGCCAAATTATCCGTTAGATTTGATTGGATCCGCTATTTACTTCGATTTGATTCGAAAAATCCGGATGTCTGTAGCTTTACGGAGCAAAGCAAATACTAAATTTTGATATCCGTTAAAAACGGAGCAAATCACAAATATTAAAATTCTAAAAGCCGGATATCTGATCCGCTCCGATATACATATATATATGTATATATAAAAATAATTACATATAGAATGTATATTTAATATCATTATATGTAAATTTTTGTGAAATTATATTTATTTTATTAGTTATTTTAATACAAAATTTTAATAAATTTAAAAAGAACAATTTAAAATTTAATATATGAGTTAATTTTTGATTTTTTAATTATTTTTATAAATAATTTTGATTATTTTATAAATATTTTATAATTAATTTAATATTTTGAAACGGATCGGATATCCAGTCAAAAATCTGAATTTTAACGGATATCCGAATACCGGATATCCGATTAGTAACAAAGCAAATACGGATCAAAAAGGCGGAGCGGATCACGGATATCACTAAAATTCCGATTATCCGCTCCGTACCCAAGCCTACTAAAGAGATCTCTTATACAAGGTGTGTAGACAAATCATGAGAAATATAATATTAAAACTTCTGTTTATTCAAAGTTTTAACTTTTGAGCTAATAATCTTCATGTAATACCCCTGAAAAAGACTTGTGCATAAAAGACTTTGAGATTTGGAAACCCATTAAAGACCCTTTTAATATTTTTAAGCCCATTAATAGCTTTAGAGTTCATAAACATCATTTGAGATTATGATAATTATCTATATTTTGTTTTGTATATATATTCCCTGTTCGTTTGGCAGCTGCAGGTACCTACGGCTGCGGCAGCATTTGAAATTGTTGTTCGTTTAGTAGCAGCAGGTATTGGCGGCAAAACACTGCAGCAGACGCAGGTTATTGCGTTTAAAAATTTTGGACGCCAAGAAAAATCAATAGTACAATTATGATCTGCGGCTGCGGCTGCAACCTGCGGTTAATTGTTGTTCGTTTCGTTGCCGCAGATACTTGCAGCTGCGGCTATGAAACGAACAACAATCTGTTATTATGGTAGCGGCTGCATCTATAACTTATGACTGTGACTGCGGTTACAAAACGAATAATAATTTGTTGTTGCGGTAGCGGCTGGAGCGACGGGTGCAGCTACAAAACGAACAACAAACTACGGCAATATTATCCTGCCGCTACCGCTATCACTGCCGCTGCCGCAACTGCATGCGGTAACCAAACGAACAGGGCTATATCTTCACATGGTTAAAACATGTCAAAGTTATTAATATAGTAATCTAGGCGAATATTTTTAATTTACTGGTGTAGCTTTAAGATAAACCTGTCTGTATGCTATTTACAGACAGGTTTAAATATGAAGAAGATTTAAACATCTTAAAGATTTAAATATGAAGAATAAGAAGCAATCGTGGGAACCACCGTCTTTGATCATGTTATTTCGCGAAGACGTCATCGTTAACATCATAGCGCGTGTACCTCCTTTCTAAGCACTTCCGATCACTCGTTGCTTCCCCTGAGCTATACGCAAGGCGATCTCTGATAGGTTGCACCGAACACTGTCTATATGTTGACTGTGGTCGCCGTTTGTATATTCTCCGCCGGAAAGCCAACGGCAACAACCGCGTGGTCCTTATCCCTTCGCAGTGGGCTCGAGGATATATATGATTGGTGGGAAAGGCTCTTGGAGCATGAGTGCGTGTGCGTTAACCATCGACTGTAGATCTCACACAGTGCAACCCCTCCCAAGCATGCCTGTGCCCATGTGTAAGTTGAGAGATGAGACCACCGAGGGGAGAATATGTGTAATTGGATGGGATTATGACCGGAGGAAGATGATGGTGGTGTTTAATACAGAAACACAAAAGTGGGAGAAGCCTGCGAAGATAAGGCCAACCATTAACATGTCGTATGGTTTTGTGGCGATGGCTGGTAAGCTATACACGAGGGATTATAATAACAGCTTTGTTTACGATCCAAAGTGTAACGCCCCCGACCGCCCATTCCGGCGAGTCACCCATCCATCTGTCGGGTTCGTGGGCCCCGCTCCTGTCCGATGGTCAGTGCGTTATTTTCCCCGGTGCCCAACCGACTTATTTACTAACCCTGCAATGACCACATGATCTTTCCCCGTGTTTTGGCCTCACTCACATGGTTTCGGGAATCACTTTTCGAAAGGTCACCCATCCTAGTCCTACTCCAGCATAAGCACCCTTAACTGTGGAGTTCTCTCAGGACATGTGACCAATAAGATAAGTGTACTTTGATGATATAGGTAGCCAAATTAATCCATTTAAACTTATTCAAATGGGCTGGACCCGGGTCGTTACAATTCTCTCCCACTAAACGGGAATTCGTCTCCGAATTCTGATCCCGATAGCGTGAGCCTTAACCCTCAAACCCCAAGACAGTCTCCTGGGACAGAACCAGTTTGACTTTCCAAGCTCTGATACCACTTGTAACGCCCCTGACCGCCCATTCCGGCGAGTCACTTATCCCTCTGTCGGGCTCGTGCGCCCCGCTCCTGTCCGACGGTCAGTGCGTTATTTTTCCTGGTGCCCAACCGACTTATTTATTGACCCTGCAATCACCACATGATCTTTCCCCGTGTTTTGGCCTCACTCACATGGTTTCGGGAATCACTTTCCGAAAGATCACCCATCCTAGTCCTACTCCAGCATAAGCATCCTTAACTGTGGAGTTCTCTCAGGACATGTGACCGAAAAGATAAGTGTACTTTGATGACATAGGTAGCCAAATTAATTCATTTAAATTTATTCAAATGGCCGGACCCGGGTCATTACACAAAGGAAAATAAATGGGAAACATAAGTGATACCTCTAGATATACCGGATTGGAGGAATGCGTGTGTGTCATTGATGACATATTGTATCACTGTGATTGGGATGGGAAGAGTTTAAGAAGATATGATCCAAAGCAGAGGTGTTGGGGAGTGGTGAAAGGTGTGGAAGATTTGTGGGCTGTGCCAAGACATGTATGACAGATACAGCCTGTGAGTCACAGTGGGAGAATGGCTTGGTTTTCTGAAAAAAGAGGAGAAACAGGAACTTCTAAGATTTGGTGTATGGAGATTTCGCTGGAAACACGTCAAGGTGAAGAGATTTGGAGTCAAGTTGAGTGGTGTGATCTTGTTTTGCCTAGTGATTGTTTGCCTTGCTATTCACGTTTTTACATATTAAAAATCAAGATGCTATTTTTTAATTTACCATCCACGTTTTAAATTTATAACTAATTTAGAAAAAAATCTATTGAATAATAGTTAAAAATAACGATAAATCAAATAAAAATGTTATAGATTTCGATAGAAATTGAAGATAAAAAAATATTAACCAAGATTTTAAATTACTTCCTTAGATAAAAAATGTAAATATGAAAACTAAAATAAACAGAAAACATTAAAATATATAATAATTTATTTACTTTTTATGGTTGACCCCACATATGTGCAAGTATAATTTTTTAAGAACATAATTAGTTGTAATATTTATATATTGATAAATTTCATTACACATTATGTTTATATACATATGCAGTTTTAGTGTTAAACAATCATACAAATATATTATATCGTTTTGTGTCTTTTGATACTGGTTTATTTTAAAAAAAAATTTTCAACAATAACATATAATTGCAAATGAAAAAGTTATATTAAATAATAATTAAATTTTTATAATATGTTTTAAATATTATCTACAC